ACCCATGTTTATCCCTATGTGGAATTTCATCAAGGCATTCCTTCTGATCTCGAAAAGGATGCGTTTCTGGACCCCCATGTGGTGAATGTGGTGATCCTCGACGACTTAATGTCGACAGCGAGCAACGATCCACGCATTACAGATCTGTTTACGGAAGGAAGTCATCATCGTAATCTCTCAGTGATCGCCTTGAACCAGAATTTGTATTTCAGTAAGGATCCCACACAACGAAGAAACTGCCATTATCCGCTTCTGTTCAACAACCCTATCGATCAACAACCCATCATGACTTTGGCGAGGCAAATGTATCCAGGTAACACAGACCGTTTCATGGAGCCGTTTCAAAGAGCTATCCAGAAACCATATGGTTACTTGTTGGTTGATCTAAAACCCCAAACACCTCCCCATTTGCGACTTTGCCCCAATGCATTCAGCTTAAAAGGAGACATCCAAGCTAGGACCATTCAGTCCGAGTTAGACTTTAGGCGTGAGCAGACGTGTGAAGAAAACCTCCCAACCATGCCATCTTGTGATGACTGTGGACTCATGTTTCAAGACATGCATGATTTGCAAAAACACAAAAGAAACTGGTGTCCTGTAAAGTCTTCAGTGTGTCCACCGGGAATACCCCAAGTGAAAAGGAAGTGGGAGGAAGGCGACAACTTCTCTCCTGTGAAGGCACCACGTACACTGTCAGATTGTGACTATTGTGGTCAAGTGTTTAGCAATAACCACAACTTACAAAGACATTTACACGATAAACAATGTCCTGAAATGGAAAATGATGATGATGAATCATTAAACGATGTCACACAAAACAACAGGGGAAAAAAGATGGCTGATCTCGAAGAGCAAGGTATAAGACAAATGTATTCACGTACACGTGAGCTGAATAAAGACTTTTTGGATGAGAAACGACAGCTGTACATGAAAAGAGGTTTAAACGAAGACACGATTCAAGCCAAACTGAACAAATACATGTGGAGCACGTTTAAAGAGACGTATGCCTGGTTTATTACTTATCTGTACCATATGCAGTATGGTCCAAACACACAAGGAATACTGAAACAAGTAGGAGACACAAATAATCTGTATCATGATGTGTTTTCCAATCTGTACCAATATAAGTCTTGGGTCGAAGGCTTGACCGAAGATGATAATGCAGACATAACATCTGATGAAGAGAGTGAAGGCTATGACGATTAGGAACGGTGATAAGACAACAGATGTAAAGTAAACTTCTGGGAGCGCTCCTATCCCGTAGTTGTACTCGTTTGAAACGGAGCTAATAAAAAAATGAAATCAGTTTATCTTGTTTTTTGTGATGTATACCTCGTTAGTAGCCACATTAACTTAGTGCGCCTAGTGGCAGCAAGATGATCCCCGGGGAGTTGAGAATGGTAATATGGCTGTGATTGACATCCAAGGAAAAAGTTACCAGCCCTTTGAGCATGCATGCGGTATGGACTATAGTGCTATATAAATAATACCAATATAAAAATAATATACACCTGTGAGTTGTCATTTATGATTACTCTTTCATGCTAACACTATACAATTACACCCCATTCCTGATGGAATTTTAGAAAGTTGAAAGTTGCATTCCTAAATATGATGTACAAAAAACCCATGACCAGAACGCACATTTCAAAGCTGACACGCCCTAGCTAGCGTTCATTCTAACGAGCATTTTTATTTATGGGTGTTTTACGCTCGCGAGAAATGTCGTCAGGCTATAACTGTCGACAGAAACCTCCCTCCCTCTGCCAAGGCAGTGCCCCCGCCCCTCCCCTACCCCTCCCGCCACAGCATAGTGCCACACGCAAATGTGGGTCACCAGATCGCGTCTCTGCTAGCACTGTGAGAGGAAGAGTGTTTTGCACGACACAATCCCAGATATAACATAAGTTCTGTTTACATGGAAGGTGCAATATTAGTCTCATGTGTTTTGGTGGTTGATTCATTCAATACAATCACAAACATATGGGATTTGGGTATAACATCTCAATATCATCCCTGATTCCTAAATTTATCGCATTACAAGGCAGGATACAATGACAATATGGATTGGATATTCAAATATGGAATGTGAATACCGGTAAGTTTGAAATACGTTTGAAATTCTATTGAGTTGGGTTGTTTTGGTGATGGTCAAGACAAACTCAAACCATTTTCATGTGGCAATGAACGCTGATTGCATTGAACTAAAGTGTTATAAAACCCGTGAACTGAACCCGTGTCATTTCTTTTACACATATGAGTGCACATGTTAGACTAGACTAATGTTTAGTCTCTGAATGTATTATCTTGATAGTAACAAACAAACCTATTTAAATTGACAAGGAGCCCAAGGCAGACCTGGGGAAAATCTAGACTTCATTTAGAGCCTGAGCAGTGCAGGGAGGGCTAGGCTGTAGGCAAAAAAAATATGGGTCAGGGACCGTGAGACAGGCTAATGTTAGACCCACGATTTTGAGTACAACTTGAGGAGGTATCATATTACACCTCGGCTGAGTGAGACGAGGGAAGTGTGTGGAGGCTGCGAGTGTTAGTTCACCATGCCTCAACGGCGCGCGCTCTGAGATGACAGATTTTTTCCACAGGCCGCAGAAAAGGTTATTGAGTATAGAAAATATAAACATTTTGTAAGAGGACAAAATGATAACTTCAACTGACTGTCAGAGGGTTTTTTTAATAGGTAAAATTGAAACCGGACGAAACTAGTTTGTGGTCAGTGGTCCAGTGAACCCCGATAGTTGTTCTACGCTGATTGGACTAAATTAATGGCGTGATGTCATGGTGTGATGCTATGATGTGTTTCCCACGGGGTGCGCGGTCATTGACCCCTCGGTCAGGGTGAGTCACACCGGAGTGAGTTGGCTGTATGCTGATTGGTCCAAATTAATGGCGTGATGTCATGGTGTGATGCTATGATGTGTTTCCCATGGTCATTGCCACCCCTGTGAAATGAGGTCAGCCAGGTGTTCGATGATGACGTCATTTTTCGTCTATTCCAACCTGTGTACAACACGAAGGTATTGGTTCGACTGTCCACATGGGTACAGTATGCGAGTTCTGGCTTAAAACCACACTCACGCACATTGCTTGCAACTGTTATCCTTCTGTCATGTATGGTTAACAGATCATTGGTCAGATTTATCATCTTTCTCTTAGACTTGCCTCTTTAGTAATACCGGAACACCAACTTCAGTAATCAGGTTACGTAAATAATATTAGGTCAGGATAAAGCGTGGAGGAGCATTGTGTATTCTGTTTCAAAACTTCGATCACCAGCGATACAAATATACTGCAAAAATTTAACAAAGTATTAAATAAGCTATGAGGTTTATGAAATGCTTACAATCCGTTAGGTTAGGTTATATATACAACTACGTGAAGCGTTCGCACGAACTGAAATGGAAACCAACATGGATCATGTAGTATTTATAGTGCTGTAGATCTAACTCACACACGTAGCTACACATTGCCGCTCCCTGCTGCATCTTGGGCGTTACCGTTTGAAAGACAAAACATAGACCAGCATGTCGGGAAATGTCACAACTGTAGGGGCCAACAGTACTGTCCTGTGATCTTTCAATAGGAGTTGTGTTTTGACAGTCTTTATGGTCCAGCCACGCACGTCATTACAGGCCAACCAACATATCCCTCATGATGTCTAAGTAGACATGACGTCCGGAAATTCCAGAATGAATGTAGACCAATCTAAAAACATCATGCGAGACCACTGGCGATTCCCCAGATATATGCACCCTCTATATACCCTTGTCGTAATGGTTTGTTTTGTTAATGGTGATGCAACACATGTACACCGGGCGCAATGTTCACAAGACAACGGTCATATTATTGGCTGTTGCGCTCGTACTTCAAGCTTGGTTTCTGATTAAACGATTTTGGACTTGTGTTGGGCGCCATCCGTGGGGAAGATGTGAGTGAGTGAATTTGATGCCGCTTTTAGCAATATTTTAGCAATATCACGACTGGGGACACCAGACATGGGCTTCAGACATTGTACCCATGTGGGGAATTAGAACGGCGGTCTTTGTCATGACGACCGAACGATTAACTACTAGGCTGCTTCAACTACTAGGCTACCCCACTGTGTCTAATGAAAACTTTTTCAAAGTCTGGGACTGGGACACGTTGAACAGGCTGACGACTCGCTGGGTTCTTACATGTCTAACTCGGAAACGTGTGAATAGCCCCTGTAAGTTCATCAGGCTGTAGACGACGCGTTCCCAAACTGGTCTCTATTTGCACTAATGAATGGGATGAGAGGTTGGATATAGATAATAAAACTCTACAACACTAATGGTTCAGAGCGATTTGACGCATGTCATCGAAATGTTAACATACAAAGGACCCCTCCCTCTGCTGATTGGAGGATTCGTATGTTCCAGTGCAGTCTTTCTATATATTGGGAGTTTGGTTTTATCTATCATGAAACATTCTCCTGACGACCGATCTTCGAAAACCTGGTTGGCAATAAATATTCCGTTGTCATCACTACGCCGGTGAGTTTTACAAAGCAGGTAAACGCCTAGGCTCTGCGTGGTTTTAACACACGTGTGATATCACTGAACCACTTTCCAAAATAGCGTTATATTTAACCCGTCTATATTTCCACAATTGACTAATACAGTTATACTATATTTGATATTTGATTTCTATATACTGGAAATTCAGACGGATGAACGTTGTACCATCAACTCACCACTGTGTGAAACAGCTATATCTGCCAGTATACATAAGTCTCAACTCGATCATATAAGCTTGTGTCAGTTTCATCCTACTAAGCATCATGCTTCTCTGGGTTTTACCCTGTGCGAAACAATTATGGTGAGAACAGTGTATAACAGACTTCATAGACCTTGCAAACCTGAGAACAAAACACAACGGCAAATGTTGAAACATATTCGTGACAACATTCCATTCTAAAACAAAATACACTGATTAAGCTTAAAGAATAAACACACACCTCCTTACAATTATGTTTTATTCAAAAGAAAATCATATTTCTCATGCTGGTCCTCCGTGAATCAAGGCGGAATATTGGATTTGCTGCATGATATGTATCAGTCTGAGATGAATGACATTGTCGATCCTCAGTACTTGATGCTTGTTGCATCACACAAGTCTTGTAAGAAACAAGTCCAAATTCGTACTGAAGGACAGCCGCAGACGCACGCACGCACGCACGCACGCACACACACACACACACTAGCAACAAAACTTTCTTTGATATTCATCCAGACTGTAATGGTATTCTATTCGTGTGAACTAAATGGTCTGTTACACATGTATACAGTACCTGCCCTCAAACCTACACTGCAGGGCCATGTGATTGAGACAACAATGACGCCTTGTTATTGTTCAGTTACCTTATAATCACAGCCAATTTCCATTTTACAAAGCACACTTGTTGTCAAGGAACTGGCTCACTCGTTATCAAGGGTTATCTGTTAAGAACCCGAATGTATATACATGTGTCGTATTTACAGTTGATCTGATATAACAATATACACTTAGAGGCTGGATAAATCTAATTTGTTTGCAGTGTGCCCATGCAGATACAATTTAGGATGATGCAAAGGGATATGTTATTCTACATGATCTTTCATTCAAGGTATTTACAGTGGAAGTCAAAGTTCAAGACATGTACACATAGATTACAAAGCTAACGACGTATTGTCACGCACACCCTGACAAGTTCCAAGTTATTTGCTGAAACTCCTTATCACATCACTGTGCAGTATTCACGTGCCAGTATTTGTAACACTGTCAAAACTATATACTGCTGCCCATCAATATATTTCAGATACATCCGGCCTATATTTGTTTATGACATCCATCACTTTGTCAAAGCCTTGTTGTTTGGCAAGATCATACATTTCGTCAACATCTTTGATCGGGAACTTCTCTTTCAGAAGCACCTCCACAGCATTGGCGTGACCGTAGATGACCGCTAGATTCAAACACACACTGTCAATTGTAGCCCCATGTTGCAATAGCACTGATATGTTACCTATCTTGCCCGTGGCAGATGCATACCTGAGTGCAGTCATGTTCGAAATATCCTTTGAGTGGACATCGGCCTTCCACAAGAGAAGGGTCTTCACTACCATTGCTGAACTGCAGAGGCTTGCAAGGTGGAGAGGGGTCCATTTCTTGTCATCAACTGCATTGACATCAGCTCCTGCAAGGAGTAAGTAGTCGATGGTGTCTGTATCAGTATTGGTTACTGCAACGGCGTCATGGAGAGGTGTTTGCTCTGAACAGTTCCTAGCCAACACATCTGCTCCCCACTTCAACAGGCATTTTACCACATCCGTTTGGCCTGCAGCGCTTGCTATGTGAAGAGAGGTGTTCCCCTCAGAGTCTTTGAGATTCACATCAGCTCCGTATCGTAACAAACAGTCTACAGCACCTACATAGCCTTTCCGACTGGCAGCCGACAACGGATTTCGCTTCCTTTGACCTTTTGTGCCGGTATTAACACCTGCACCACTCTTACACAGGAGTTCGATTACTGGGGCATGACCCTTCTTGCTGGCTGCATAAACAGCTGTCCTACAATCTGAGGTAGCAAGACTGGTGTCTGCCTTTTTCTCCAAAAGGATCTTCACGACATGGCTCCTGCCTCTCTTGCTGGCAATGTAGAGAGCTGACTTTCCAAAGACGTCTGAAATATTGATATCAATGTTGTCAACATCCATCAGTTTCTTCACAACACCTACATGACCTTGATGACACGCCAGATGTAATGCCGTCATGCCTTCGGTTTCATTTGGTTTCTTACCCGAATTCAGTTTCAGAGGGGACTTTGGTTTGAGCGAACTCTCCTTGCACTGTGCATTAACATCAGCTTTAAACTTTATGAGAATGTCAATGATTTTTCTGTTCCCTACCCAAGAGATGTAGTGGAGAGGGGTCCAGCCGCAGCTATCAGTCACGTTAACATCTGCATCCTTCTCCAGCAGAAGTTCAACCATTTCAGGCGATTTTTTGAGACAAGCAAGATGAAGAGGACTCTGGCTATCTTTGTCAGTTTTGTTCAGGAATTCCTTCGCTTCTTCACATTCTAGAAGTAGTCTTAACATGTCCACCTTCTCCTTCTCAATAGCATGATGGAGTGGATTGTGATCATCATTGTCCTTTGACCATTGTGCATTGTTTTCCAGGAGAAATGATACTGCAGCTGGGTTGCCTCCCATGCAGGCGGCCAGGAGACAAGTCTCTCCATTATCATCCTTTTCATTGAGATCAAGACCGTTATCCATGAGAATCTTGACAATGTCTGTGTGTCCATATTTACATGCCAAATGAGCCATTCTTTGACCAGATATTTCAATGACCCTCACAGATTCATTAGCAACAAGGCTGCTGTCTTGTTGATAGCTTTGGTAAAGACTTGATTCCACTTGATCGAACCGTTGATATGTCAGTTTTCTTCAACAGTTCCCTCAAAGCATTCTTGTTGCCAGAGAGACAGCACCCAAGCACGGCTTCACATAAGTCTAGTTCAGGGAACACTGTTTTCTCCAAAGCCCCTTTACACAAGTTCTCACTGTTGTTCCATGTTGTCCAGTACAAAAAGGAACCACCATGTTTTCGGTCCTTCAGTTGCACAGTTTTCCTGAAATCCCTTAACTGTTTGAACAGATTTTTCACTGAAGATGCTGTCATCAATGCTGGGTGAGAACAGGCCAAGGCAAGATTTCCTGCTGCCATCTCAGTTCCAAGTCTTTGAATCAAAGTCTTCAAGTCATTTTGATTAACATGAATCTGTATGTCTGTGTCTGATGACATTCCCTGGGCAGGTGTCTCCCTCACCCTTTCATACAGAAACTGCAGACTGCATTCCCCTAAATAGTCAATTGAGAACTTTGTTGCCATGACATAACTTGCAGCATCTGCAATAGATTTGTGCGGGAAATATAATATGCTTCCTTCTTGAAACACATAATTTTTCATGTTGGCTACAGATTTTTCATCAATGGCTTCACCTTCAAGCTTCTTTCTGTCAAGTTGTCCTTTAGACATGACCACCTGTTTGATGAGTGTCATATTGGAAGGATCTTCACACGATGATACTAATCGTTTAATTATGTAACTTAAGGGATTGGTGAAGAAGTCTACAGGATTATCCTGAAACATCCGTTCTGCAGCAAACAGCTTGCAGCATAGAGGAAATCCAAGAGTTGCATCAGTTTCTGCGATTCTATCAACCTCAGTACTGTCCAAATGTATGCCAAATTTATCCAAATGACTGTCCAACATCTTTTTCTTTTCTGCTCTCACAAGAGGAACAAGAACAGTCAGGTCAATGTTACTGGACACAGGAATGATATTACTAAGATGGCCCATGGAATCTGCTGCTCTCCACACATGATTCCTGGAGGTGATTATCACCTTTATCCCTGGTCCAGGCATACTCTCAGAATGTTTTTTGATTCTCCTTAAAACAGGTACCCACTCTCTGACAGCTGTTTCACAAACTTCAACAATCCCAAATACGTCATCCAACACGACAATAGTTGGGGTGTCCAGGTCGACCTGTTTGTTGAACTCCTCTGGAGATTTGATGACAAGTTGTCGCTTATAAAATGCCTGGTGTCTCATAGCTTCCAGTGCTGCAGTTGTCTTGCCCTCCCCTGGTGCGCCAGTGAGGATGATAAACACCTCTGTTGGATCTTTTAGTCGCTCTCGCACTGCCTGGAATGCCTTGGTCTCGATGAATTTGACGTCAAGAGGTCGGTAGGAGGAACCTTGAAATAGAATCGTAGGTATCAAATACAAAGCAGCTCTTAATAGAAACATTCACGATCTACTTAATAAATATCCATACAAAGAATTACGAAATTGTACACAAATCACAATGAAACAGTAGCAATTCAGACAACGAATGTTCCTCTTTCACCAAATATTATTGAAGAGCAACACCTGAAGAGTGCAACACCTTAGGATGCCAGGTACGTGTCGTACAATCCATACTTAACACCAAATAAGGGACATATTTTAGATTAAGTTCGTAACTTTCCACCCGTGCAAGATTTCTAAAGAGACAGAAGCTGCAATCTTCCAGAACTCACCAGCATCTTCCGCGTCCATATGGTTTGATGCAGACTCTCCCCGTTGAAGTTGAAGTAATTGCACTGCTTCATACTGCCCTGTCCTCCTCAAAGAGCCCATCAGAGCATCATACAGGTGGGTACGCTTCCGAGCCAGCAACTCAAACAGTCGATCAACAACCTTTCTGGAAGACTCTTCTTCTTTACTTTCAGTGGATGTTATATCCTCTGGATAGGCCATTATGTAGTTACCTGGCCTTATGTATCTGAAACCAAGATATACTACAATGACACGTTTTCATATGAAACAACCCCAAAAGGCATGGTAGGAGTATGGAATTATGATCTAATGTTAGGGATATATTTGATACTGAAGGCAGAGCTGTGGTTACCTTTATCTACCTTTATCTACATAACCACAATACGTACCCCAGATCGTTCTTATGCAGGTGATTGGAACATGTCAACTCTTGAAGGAGCTCTTCCAGATTGACTTTGTCAGCAAGAATGTTCTTGGCATGGGAAATGAAGAGTTCATCCTCTTGGGGTACATTTTGCGCTAGAAGGAAATGGACAAGAATGTAGCACAGTTACCATGTAATCAAACCATGAAGAACTCATGAAAGAACCTAGAGTCAAACTGATATGAAAGTAACGAGCTCAGTGTGATATTACTTTACTTCTAAATAAATGTAAATTTCAACATCTGCATTAAACATTTCGTAAAGACATTTTGGCATTGCTTGCTAAACTGTTACTTTCCTGGCTTTAATGACAATTCCATACCTGCAGAGTTTCCTTTCAGCAATAGGTCCTTCAGATGGTTCTGACCTGTGTGCTGCAGAGCTTTCAAAAGATAGTCAAAAGATGTGTCTGCTTTCCCATATAAGTATTCCAAGAGCATTTCATTGATTAGGTCAATGGAGTCTTTGGCCTGAATGCGGCTAATGTCAGATCTGGTGAAGACACCTTTCTTGAACAGGAATGCCAGTACCCCGAATGGGATCATGCTTTGTAAGAGATCCTCCCGGGCTGACTGAAGCAACTCAAGATGTTCTGGAGACATCAGGATAGGGGTTGAATCTACAACAAATACATTATTATACATAGGAACTGTATTCTGTAAAGACATGTAATCCATGCATGCGTCTATTATGTTTCAAGACGAAATCTGTCACACGAGCATCCTATTTGCATATGTTCTAAAAGCAGGTATAGGGCTTCCTTGTCAACTGACATAATCTTATTATAAGCTTTAACATATTGCTCATTTACCATCATTATTTTCCAGCAGCTCTGCCAAATGTCCCTGTCTTGTTTTCCTCAGCGCCCTCAGGAAGATGTCATAGCCCCTTCTCGATGTCCTTCTCAGGCTGTTCACAAGCTCCTCATTCTGCCCCTCCTTGTTGGGTCTCTTCTTTATCCAGATCAAATCAGTAATACCCAGGACCTTCTTGGACAACAGTTCCAGCACAATATCATCTGGTATCATACATTTCTTTAACTGCTCCCGCTGTCTCTCCAAAGCGTTTGCTTCTTGATCCTCAATATCTTCTTCATCTGGAAAGAGAGAGTATGACATATCCTAAAGCTGATGTATTCTATTTAGACAAAACCACCTGAGCATGTTTCACCATGTTAGTCGGGATAATTGCAATACTTACGGAAAATGAAGGTTGTATGCTTATCTTTTTAACCTATGAGACACTGGCCTGCGTAGCTCAGAAATATGTTTATATAAGTCAAAAGGATAAACTTAGAAAATTGCAAACTGCAGCATGCACGATATCCACTTTCTCAGTTACAAAGCATTCTGAAAATGTTTGTGTCAGCCTTACCTCTCTTGTCATACACTATTACTAGTTTTCCACCTCGACTCTGGATAGCATGTTCCAGGTAGTGGTGCCAGTCAAAGATAAGTTCCTTTCCACACTGGAACTCGAGTTGCTCTGCTTTCACCACTACGAAGTTGACATACTCATGACAGACAGCTGGATTAGCTTGCAGCTCAGGACGGGTTATTACATGCAAGTTTCGAATGAACCTAAGGACAGAAACCAAAATATGTTACCCTCCACGTTTCACACACCATGGATAATAACAATATCAAGCATCAGTTAACTCATTTTAGCTTTCAGTCATTTGATCTTGTTTATACAATATCATCTTTAGTAAATGCAACTATTCCTACTATCACCATAAAGGAGTTTGTTTGTTAGATTAACTACCGGAAGAGGAATTCTTACTTGATTTTTCTCCTGAATTCATCCGACTCACATAAGACCAGCGTCTGTCCTTGTAAACTGAGTCTTTGTGCTGTTTCTAGTGCAAAGCGAATCTTGCCAGTGCCAGGTTTGCTGGACACTAACCATTCCTCACTGCTGTTAATGCATCTATTTAATAAACAAAACTGATCTGGTGTAAGGAGATACACTGGTTCCAAGACTGCTCGTCTTCTTTCCGGTGACATTGCTCTTGGTAACACAGGCAGATTCACTCCATCGGGTATCCTTGGTCTCTTGATCTGTGTTTCCATTGTGTGATCGACAGAGGACTTGAACCCTTGTGCAAGCAAAGCTTTGGTTAGTGCCAGACACCTGTCTTTTGACATACACAGCCTTTCAATTGGGAAGTTACGTTTGTATTCGAGGCAGACGTTCGTGAGTACCTTCTTGAGACAGTCTTTGGAAATGTTTCTGATATCCAGTGTGGCATCAAACAGGTTGAATCCTTCATTAGTGAAGTCCCTCATTGTATATGTAAGTTCACGCACAATCGAAGCATTGTACTTTTTGACGTCAGAAACATCATGGTGTCCGTCTGTCACTGTTATAACAAGTGGAAGGTTGCTGTGGGACAGCATTATGACGTCACATACCACCCCGGGTGGAGTTGGTTCAGCCTCGGTAAGATTTAGACACAGTGGAGTGTTTGACGAATAAAAAGCAAATCCTTTTCTGTCTATCAACTTATCGATGCTATTTACAAGGTCTGGTTCACGCTCTCTCAGTGATTGAACATACTCCTCGGGGCAAGACGTCACATTACCTGCGCAAAAAATGAAATCACATGAATAATAGAATAATTGTTTTACGATCAAAGGTAAGATAACCTTCGATGATTGCTGATCATTTGGTGCTTCATGATATTAATCGCAAGACACTTCAATCAACTAATCGAGTTCATAGATCATTTCAACATCACTCTGGTAAGCTGGCTTTCTTTCTCATATGTTGCATATGAGGAAAGATAAACGACAATAACATTTACAAATAACAAATGATGATAATAGCATAAAGAACTTTAGACTCACGCACCTGCAGCGATATCCTTCATGAACTCTGAGAATGTCCGTCCCACCTCGTACACTGAACCTCTGTATGTGTTGCATGACGGGATTCCAAACTTGCACCACTTGGAATTAGGCCAGCCTGTGAGAAGACGTATTTGAGATGACATATAGTAGTACATGGCGAAATAACTGCATCCTTTCTCTTTATTTTTATATTACACAACATCAAAAGAATAATATACACTTCTGTGTAACACGAAGATTGCACAGAACGAAGATAATGGATCGCATGGATCAGTCGTATTGACCTATCGCGTTGACCTATACCTCACTAATCGATACTTGCAAGAACGACCCCAGGAACAGGAGACATCGTCCTCCATAACAAAAACACCACATGTAACTTTGTCTTCTAGGTACCTGACAGTTCGTGCTCTGTCAGAAGGTCAGCGTCCCCTTTCTGCCTCTTCTCGGGGGTACCTGACTTGAGTGTTAGCTGTGTTCGTTTGGTGGCCATCCTTGTCCTGGGGGGAGGTGGCACTACTGGGACCATCCTTCCTCCTGTAATATAATGGTAAAATAACCATAACTTTAACATATCCGTGTACTTCGTCAGAACTTGACACTCATTTCTGTAAGACTCAGCAGCGTTTTGCATATTTAGCCATCAGCAAACTCTAAATCCGGACAGAGATGTATAGTTATATAATACGCCCACAGTTATACTCCTCACAAACAGTTAACCAACACAAATTTTGTCTCATTACATTTTCATTTATTGAAATTGCAAATCATGGAATGATGCAATAAAAGATGAAACATACGTACACATGATTAACAAAATGGAATAGAATGGTATTAGCAACAATAGACTTACAAATCATCAAAAGCATGTACCCGTGAAACAGTCGTGCAAAATGTACTGCATTCATGGAGCAGTTGAAGTCAGTTTTGGACAGTGAAGCAGTGTTCAGTAACGCGTATGGCCACCCTGAGCACAAATGCAAGCTTCTACACGTCTTTGCATTGACCAAATGAGCCTTTAAAGTTGCTGTTGTGGAATGTTCTGCCATTCTCATTGTAACGCCTGCTCAATGTCATCCAGAGTTTGGGGGTGAACATGGAGACCGTAAACACGACTTCCAATAATGGCCCAAGCATGTTCAATGGGATTAAGAACAAATGACCTTGCAGGCCAGTCCACATGTGTGATGTTGTTGATCTAACAACTCTTTCTCAGGCATTATCATCCATGGACGGTCATTATCATCCTTAGAATAATTACAGGTAGGTTTACACCGATCAGGGTACATGTGTGAAAAGTGGAGCACATTCATGCCACACATTTTGCATGTTGTTTCTGAGGGTGGTTGTGTTCGGGTGATGTTTTCAACGTTATCAGATAAATCAATTTGACAGTCACTAAAGGTTATGTATTCTTTGAATATTTACCTTTCAGTAGCATGTCGACTAAAAACGCTATCGAGATTGATAAAGATATTACACTGAAAATACTTGTTGCCTAATTTTTTGTGAGGGGTATATATTAACGCATACAACATTACTTAGGTAAACACTCATTCACTGAAGTCCTCGACTGAGTGTATGCCTTTCTTTGGAAAATTTACGTAAAAGCTCAACCCTAAGCACATCATGATGTGGTGCCGGGTGTTAGAGTAGTGAGGTGACACTTTATGACCATAAAGTGCCCATAAAGTGCCCCTTAAATAGGAAAGGCAGAGAGTAAAAACTGAATGCCACTTGACCGGTCAACTAGTTTTGAGTTCATGTACCGACAGCTCGCATTGCGACATTATTGTAATTAATCTAAATATTTACTGATACTGTATACATACAGATGTTAAGGATTGTAATTCATATAAGTATATATATACTTATGTTAAGGATTGTAATTCATCTAATATATATACTGTGTTAAGGCTATTCTTAGTTGTCGAACTCGACTGTTGTTCCCCCGGTTGCCTTAGTACAGAACAACCTAAGCCGTACCACCGCACTAAACCATGTTGCTTTGTTAGTTCTACCTACAGGAGTTACGATTACCTTGGGGCTAAGTTTCCTTTGCACCCTAAACATGGTTTAGCTGGATGGTAACAAGAGGATCACACTTCAAGTGAAACACATCCATGTGAAAGTACAGATACTTGTACAAATACTGAAGAAGGCCATATCTATCACGGTTGATATTCGGAAATCGAAGTTGATTTGTTCAAGCACAATTAGAAAGATATATAGAGCTAGAGTCTTAAACACAACCACTACATATTGGTTAAATATAAATATCTGACATCCAAGGTGGTCTGTAATCATACCTACCGTGAACGGGTCTGTCTTCTGGCCCGTGTGCTCTGCTGTCTGCTGGTTCGTCCAGCAGATCCCTTGCCGCTCCGAGTCATCATTGTCTCGTGACTTCACGACATCTGCAATACAACACAATACATCATTTGGGATAAAGCGAGCTAAAAACACATTACATGGTAGGTGCCATTCATTCTCAGGTACACTTCGGTTTCAATGTTTCGAAAAGGGGCGGGATTACGGTTGATTCAGCGCCATGGGCGTCGGCATTGACAGTGCCAAGGTGCGTGCCAAGACCTATGATTAGTGGTTCGAGTCCCAGATTTCCCCTGCTTCTTTTATCTTGCTAATCATCGCCACAGTGTGATTTCTCCTACATTAAGCTGTGGGATCGTCATATAAATGAACTACTGTTCATAGTGGCAATAAACCAACTCATCCAGTCATTGAAGGCACTCATGGACGAACGATAGCAACATGTAATAGATTCTAAAATTGCATTTTGCCGTTCTGTCTTAATCATTAATATGAATATTCTGAAAAAGCTAGACTCGGTAGTTCATCACATCCTTTGTCAAAACACATCATGCTGGGAGAACCTCATGTAATTAACTGGGACTGAATGCCGCAGACACCTTCAACACATCATTAGCGCGGATGAGTGGTGACTTCAACCTTGTGTTCATGAACATGACTTGGACCAGTGAACCACCAGTGACCTTAGGTCACATGACCACAACCTCGCAATCACAAGCAACCTCCAAGGTCTATCACACGTGTTGTGTGGACACTGGATTCCTTGGGCGTTAGGCGGGCCGATTCCACAGTAGTTTGGATAATGGAGGCCACTTCGTGAGAACTGCTCCAAATAACCATTAGCTGACGTTGTGTAACCACCAGCAACAAAACATGTAAACATTAATCCATTAACCTATTTGGCGTTAAATACATTTAAGATTTTTCCATTGCAAAATATACACAATGTTATTTTAACCTATATCGCCCCAAAACGATTTAGTCAACCAACTAATACTTTCCTGTTGATAAAATCTCGAAGTCCTCACTTACCGATCCACTGAGATGAATAATATATTTTTAGTCCGAAAAACAGTAAAGCACAAATGGTCTCATTCTCTCCTTATGGCTTTTGCTCGTTACTCGACAATGGACCATGTTTGTCCAGAAGTCCATTGTTATATGTCTGTCACATCAAAATGAGGCGAAAAACGGTGTAAAACCACAAGCACTCCAGATATAGGGACAAGGTTACATACTTATGACTTCGTCCCTGAGCACATTTAGCGATTGTTGTAGGACTGTTTACAAACATATGTGAACTTGATCACTAAACACTGATACGCTTTCGCGTTGACGGGTCACTATCGGAGGACACATGCGTGAATGACAACGAAGCATGAGTGCTCCCATGCAGCATCGCAGTGTTTTTCAGCAATAATCAACAACACGATCGTAAAACAAACAGTTGAAAATGCGGACACCCTCTTATGGTGCCAGAGTATCACTATCAAGAGACCTTTAAAGTAATACAACCGCGTATACAATGAATAACCAACACAGGCGTGTTGTCACCAGGCCGTCAAGGAGCTGGACACTCAGTTCATGAGTCCTTGTCTGGCTGTAGTTCGACCTCTGTCTGACAAGGGCGTCTCAGGTAACTTACATTTCTAGCCAAACGGAGAGGGGGAATGCTGACGTGCTACACTCGTGTGTTCAATTGGAATAGTTACACAAGTGTTGTTTCAACATGCTATAACATCAGATGTCTTAGGTGTCTAGCAAAAAGGCATTTGATCATTTAACCGTGTAAAGTCGGTAACGTTAAGATGGGTTACTGTAAGATCATGCAAGATTGACAGCAAGTGGTCCGAAAGACATTTACAGACATACGACGTTTTAGCGTCGTATTCCTTGTAATGATACTGACCCTACTCCTGTCTGGTGAATACTTCTGTCTTCTGGTGCCCCTCGTGACACAAACATCCATCAAGAGGAGGTTAAACTTCCCGTCACATATCAATGACGTATTAATTAAACTTAGAGTCGACTGTGACTGATTCAGTTCTGTGAGAAGGTCCATTCGGTTCGCATGCTAAAGTAGACCACTTTCACCTTCAAAACAACATTAGCTGTTGTGTCTACCGGAAATATGTGTTGAATCACTCGAATGGTTGCAGTGGTAGTCTCGGATCAGAGACACGACATGTCACACGTGATACACCAATGTGTAATCCTACCCAGTTGTACAGTTGCCTATATTAGTATAACCTGAGACGTGGACAGGCAGATAATATCTTGCTCCGGTAAAACCCACTCCTTTAGTGGCTCATTCCCATTCATCAACATGTGCATCTGTGTATCAGCACACCCCTTCATGAGTGTTGGCATGCAAATCTCGTCGTCCCGTCTGGTACATCAATGGTATCTTCTATCAGACTACCAATGAATACATGTAGTATCACCTGTGTTGTCGGATTTCCAAGCAGGTACTGGAATACGTGTTTGTCTGTTCAATATCGCATTCGGCAATATTCTAGTCATATGACAGCAGATCCAGCTTATGGATGTCGAAAGAGTTTTGTCATTCTATTTAAATATTCGAAACTGGACCAGACAATACAGTGATTGATAATGGGAGCAACCACATATGCTGTCGGTGTACAATGACATGCAATTAAGAATCACGTTAACATGCTCTTAATTGCTTACGTGAATTTAATTAACACGTTAACATGCTCTTACTTGCTTACGTGAATATAATTAACACGAGTGCAAAATAATAGACACATGCGTGTTTTCGTTGTATAAAACAAAACATATACCGGTGCACATTTGCAGATGATGCAAATTTGCATTTAATATTACAATGTGAAATCTTACGCCGACACATGTTGGTAATTTGCGCAGGTGTGACCTTATTCTGCTTATGAAATTAGATTGCATTAGATTAATTTGTTCCCAAAGTAATCTCACCAACTTTTTCCCAGACATTCCACTCCCGGGTTAGTCACCTTATAGTCAACAGTAAGTTGTAAGTATAAGTGTAAGTTGTAAGCATAAGTGTAAGTTGTAAGCATAAGTGTAAGTTGTAAGCATAAGTGTAAGTTGTAAGTATAAGTTGTAAGTGTAAGCTGTAAGTGTAAGTGTGAGATTAAGGAATCATCTTTCCATCATGCACACAGTATTCAGCCGAGTGCACACACGACTTGGCATCGAGATACAGCCCATGGAAAGGTGTAATTGTACTCGTTTTACCAATTATGGACGTGTAAAAGTGCATGTATAATTCTACACATGTAAGCAAATATGAGGTCTCAAAATATATATAAAAGCGAGTCCGGTAATTCTGCGCAGCTGCAATAGCGTACTTCCGTACGAAGGCAAACATCGTCTGCGACCACATTTACGCTTGAAATCGGGACATTTCTATAAGGGACTGACATTTAATCACTAAAGGTATTTAAATAACAGTAATTGACAGATAACTTGACCGTTTTATGAAAATTCGTTTTCTTCAGACTTTTAAACCTTTTTCTTCATTATTCATAATTGGATTTAATATGAAACACTCTTCCTTACATTGATGAAGTGATTTTTGAAAATAATCTGGCCCTAATACGCTTCCATACTTCGGATCTTCAGCTGGATGTTATGCACATCAGTTGCTGCGCAGAATTACCGGACAGCAAGCGATGTCGTCAGAACGCCGATAAGGTCAACCGTATGGCATAATGCAACGTTAGAATCTTATAGTCGTAAATATGATGCATACCAGCATGTTTAGTCACGTAAACCACAAAAACTAAGAGACGTTAGTTGCCGTGTTGCGATCGATGTGCTTAGGTGCGCGGAATAACCGCCGGACGGCATTGTATGTCCTGGTCTCTTCTACGACAGTATAGGTTGCTGGGCACTAGTCCGGAATGCCAACTTGGGTAATATGGAAGATATTATACCGCACATAGAAATAGTTTTAGGATATCACTATGATCTCTAAACACTTGATGAACCAATGGTTCATATTATAAGTAACATCACACGACGTCTTGATACAATGACTACAATGAGCTGTATCAGCCAGCATAACCACTCACTCATATGTAGTGTCCTCTTACTGTGCCCCAGGCCTATTCTAACCCGTGTCCTCTTCAAGTTGCCGGACTGTAAAACGTCAGTGACAAGGCTGTGTATTTATGCTCTACTATGTTGAGTACATGCAAGGTAATGTAATGACAATATTTCGACGATAACACAGGGTCCCATTTGCAAGAAGTGTTTGTAGCACAACGGCTGTCGTAACATGCTGTCGTATGCTTACGAGGACGTAGTACTGAGATTGCCATTAGCAATAGAGCGGGGCATTCCGTTAGCGTTGGCCCAGTGGATTCAGACCAACGTTTGACTCATCATATCGCATTCTAACAATAGAAGTGAAGTGTTGGGCTGAAATGCTATTGAACGTATGAGTAAATTATGCATTACAGGTTCAATAGATACCCATTGTAATATTACAATACTTATGATAGCTGAAATACGCTAACGAGCTGAGCATACTGTTTGTAGTGTACTTGGTGCCTATTATCAGGTGAAACAGTAACAGAAACAAACATCATTTAGACTAAAAAAACGATTGTTGTTTACGTGGTATATTAATGCTGCAGCTATAAATACAGTTTGGACATTAAGTGTACACGTGGCGTGTCATTGTCTGATTGTCCGTCTCACAGAACCATATTGTTTTCCCCTCGGCTCAGCACTGCCTGTACCGCAAACGCCCTAACTGAAACAAGTCTAGAAAACCATTTTCCCTAGGTCTATTTTTCAATATTAATATTGGAGTGTATTTGTTTCTCTCAGAGTAAAATATTTTCATGTCTAAGCGTTTGTCGAACTGTTTAACCGCGCCTTGCATCTAAATTGAAGATGCAGCATAAATATTAACTGTCGTTATACTGGCTTAAGTAGTTTTACACATTTGCGTTAACTGCGAGAAATTCGCGTTAATATAATTTAAAATGTATGAATGAGTTCTCTCTATAATAGTTGATGTGTAACACAAACGTTCGCACTGCTTTTGTTGAATGTATGAGATATGATTTCTTCTTATAATTGTTGATATGTAACACAAACATTTGCGTTACTTTTGTTGAATGTATGGGATATGTCTTCTCTCCATAATGGTTGATATGTACTACAAACATTTGCGTTACTTTTGCTGAATGTATGGGATATGTGTTCTCCTTATAATTGTTGATATGTACTACAAACATTCGCGTTACTTTTGTTGAATGTATGGGATATGTGTTCTCTCCATAATTGTTGATATGTACTACAAACATTTGCGTTACTTTTGCTGAATGTATGGGATATGTGTTCTCCTTATAATTGTTGATATGTACTACAAACATTCGCGTTACTTTTGTTGAATGTATGGGATATGTGTTCTCTCCATAATTGTTGATATGTACTACAAACATTTGCGTTACTTTTGTTGAATATTTGTGTTCTCTTTATAACTTTGTGTGCCTGCGATTACGAACTAGACTCTGAGGGTGTGGGTTCGAATCCTGGATGGGACTCAGTCCAACAAAAAGTACAAGAATCTGTACTTCACAAATAAGTGTAATCCCAAATATAACCTATGTTACTCTTTTTAATTGTTGATATGTAACACAAACATTTGCGTTACTTCTGTTGAATGTATGAGATATTTGTTCTCTCTATAATTGTTGATATGTAACACAAATATTTGCGTTACTTCTGTTGAATGTGTGGGATATGTCTTCTCTCTATAATTGTTGATATGTAACACAAATATTTGCGTTACTTCTATTGAATGTGTGGGATATGTCTTCTCTCTATAATTGTTGATATGTAACACAAACATTTGCGTTACTTCTGTTGAATGTATGGGATATGTCTTCTCTCTATAATTGTTGATATGTAACACAAATATTTGCGTTACTTCTGTTGAATGTGTGGGATATGTCTTCTCTCTATAATTGTTGATTTGTAACACAAATATTTGCGTTACTTCTGTTAAATGTATGAGATATTTGTTCTCTCTATAATTGTTGATATGTAACACAAACATTTGCGTTACTTCTGTTGAATGTGTGGGATATGTCTTCTCTCTATAATTGTTGAAATGTAACACAAACATTTGCGTTACTTCTGTTGAATGTATGGGATATGTCTTCTCTCTATAATTGTTGATATGTAACACAAATATTTGCGTTACTTCTGTTGAATGTGTGGGATATGTCTTCTCTCTATAATTGTTGATATGTAACACAAATATTTGCGTTACTTCTGTTAAATGTATGAGATATTTGTTCTCTCTATAATTGTTGATATGTAACACAAACATTTGCGTTACTTCTGTTGAATGTGTGGGATATGTGTTCTCTCTATAATTGCTGATATGTAACACAAACATTTGCGTTACTTCTGTTGAATGTGTGGGATATGTGTTCTCTCTATAATTGTTGATATGTAACACAAATATTTGCGTTATTTCTGTTGAATGTGTGGGATATGTCTTCTCTCTATAATTGTTGATATGAAACACAAACATTTGCGTTACTTCTGTTGAATGTATGAGATATTTGTCCTCTCTATAATTGCTGATATGTAACACAAACATTTGCGTTACTTCTGTTGAATGTGTGGGATATGTGTTCTCTCTATAATTGTTGATATGAAACACAAACATTTGCGTTACTTTTGTCAAGACCCCAAATATATCATTTTGTTTTTCTGAATCAATAATGTGCTTATACAAATTGCACTATATACCCATTCAAAGAAAACAATCATATTCTAAATCATAACAATAGCGTATAAAAAACAGGAAACCAGGTCGAACATTAAATAGGACACCAAAACAGCTGACACATTTGTTTGCAATGCGTAAAAACATACCGAGCTCAGAACGCAAACTGGGCGACATCACCGATAACCCAATATTGCCAGATACGTCCTTGACCTTCGTACAATAACACTACTGCTGTAATCCCTTCCTGTGCGTGATGTGGGAATGGTCATTCCAATAATAATGATAATAATATACATATATTACACAGTGTCTCCGAGACCTGCTAAGTTGACTAATACAGTTTCAACGACAGTTATATGTTCATTTTAGCCCGATGCAAACTAGAGTCAGCTGATGAATAACTGATCAGTGGGGGACATTTTGTACCGTTTTAACGAAAATTACTGGCACTACCGACATATTGTCAATCTATTTTATTCCATCTTTGTTATCTCTTATAGTATAGACATTGCATCCTGTCAGTTCCAGCATTTTGGACACTATAACAGCAATATACAAATCTCGTTATGTTGACCGTGAAATAGTTATGACCTAACTATACATCTGCATGTAACGTGGGCAGACGACATACGCTGAAACTACGCACTCAGTATAAATATAAATGCTATATCAGGGTCAATCCGCGTTTGATTATCACCACAACAAGGATATATTGAAGAGACTGGTTAGCTAGTTCCCTAATAGTAATACATGGGTGATCACTGAAGCGGTATACCTCACGATAATGTAACAATGTTGTAGGATACATAAACTCAGTTATGTCAAGGAATAACATAATAACTCACCTGGTACATTAGTTGGTAGGTATTTAAACAAAACAGCGTAATACCAACATGTAATCCTTGAAGGAGCCGGTACTGAGGTGTTACTCCCTATTCGAATCCACGTAGCGACACCGTTTCTATAAATATCGCCAAACGCGAGCCTTCCCACACAAACATAAATGTCTGTTGATAGCCGCAAAGCACTGTGGGTAACTCGCCCCATCACTCGTGTTCTCACTGTTGCGCTGTTCGTCGATCAATGACGGGTCACTACCGTCAGTCGTGGCTCAGTATGCTGTGTATACGCTTTTGTCCTGGTCATGGTGAATGGTGATACTAATATACAATCACAGCATTAAAAGCGTTTGTACATAGCATGTCCCATAGAGTGTAGCCCAAGTGGAAAACGCTCCATATAACGGATGTATTCAGAAAGAGAAAATTCGGTTGGTTATTTGGTCATGCAATATTTACGTGACTAATAACTGTTGGGAAATAACAAACTTCATTTCTCAATTTAACCCAATTTCGTTACCCGCTAAAAAGTGCCCTTTTTTTGTGTTGATTGTATTGAAATTACATTTATGTAATATGTATGGCGTAGGAAGGTATGTACATTTGTTAACTGATTTGACAGATTTTCATTGTTTTCCACATAAATCGGAGATAGAAAATATTCGGTTTTGGCTGATATAAAAGCATGAAGTATTGACGATGTATTATTCGCGTATTCTAATATTTATGATTATGTGATAACTGATTGTGGTCGTGTCAGATATGACGATTAACTTTAGTACCACACGGTCAAATTCAAGCCGAACAGATCTTCTAAACTCTTACATACGGTTCATCCTAAACTGAAAATGTACCAGAATATTAACGTATTAACGTCACTGTTATAACCTATGAAGCATAATTCTTTGTTTTCAGATCAGTGTGTACCATGGATCACTACAAAAGATGTGTATTGCGCTGAGTCATTTAGCATATAATTATGTCCATTCCTCCGTGTTTAATTGTTTCCTGTAACCTACTGATGTATTTTGTAATGTTTATATTGTTGCTATTTCTTTCCTGTAGTGACTGAGTGAATATTGGCGAAATTTCTGGAACACTTTTAGTTTATCAACAAAGGGTGTATTTGAGTGGGCTTGAAATGTGTCTGCAACTGTGTAATACCGGACTGTGATTGCACTTGCACCTGCTAACCCCGTAACATGATGTAATATAAAACTACATATCGACATACTGACTCACCTCGGACACCAGTATACATCAAGACACTAAGTCCCAGAGCTACCCAAAGGCAGTTAAATAATATTAAAGACAAGTCAACCAGGAGCTAAGTAGAAAGCAAGTTTACTTTACAGTAAAAGTACATTATTTCATTACAACATTAAATATATACAAATATGTAATATACAGATACTGTATAAACATACAACACTGCCACATATGTCCTTGTCCTTGTGTGACCAATTTAAGCCAGTTCTCTGAAACAACATTTAGCAGACTTAATTCCATTGTTAAAATAACAACATCGTCACTGAGGAGCCTGTAACAACTATCAGCAGTGGGAGGAATTGATCAGAAAACATCATGTTCTCACCTGTCAACTCAAAATATACACCGAGGGTGTTTTATCCTATGGGTTGAAATTTGCAAGGGCTTTTTGTCCTGGGGGCATTTAGCCTAGTTTTTTTTTATCCGAGGGCCTTTTATCCCAGTGGGCTTATTGTCTGCCCACCGTCCTGGTGGGTATCTCAACTACTTCCATTGCGCAATACTAAGTCGTGCTCACACATACTACATGCTCACCTGAAAACCCGTACACATTGGTTGATATTCAAAACTTTATATTTACGTGCAACATCTCAAACTTACAGTCATGTACGCACCAAGAAGATGAATCGTATCTCAGGTGACCTATCTCATGACTGCTTCAGTTAGACTGCACACAATGTAAAGGGCTCGTTAACTATATGCCTAAAGGTTTCTTCTCCTTACCTAAAGTGTTAACACTGGGCTATTGCACTTGAACAATGCAAGTATTTCACTCACGGAGAAGTAGAGTGAGTCTGACTTCTCACCTGTTGTAGCAAAATTATTCCAGCTGAATACATTCAACCAGTGTGAGAAATCGAACCTTCGACGTGACAAGCGGACAGTCTAAGGGTGTGATGATGTCAACTGTTTCACCGATAATAACACAGCTCGATCACCTAGACGCATGTATTTGTGCGCACACACGCACGCGCACATACATTATTGATTATATCTGATAAACTACTTGACAAATATAAATGAACCTCCGATTCTTTTACCATATTTAATCACGGCATTTCATATTTCAAGTCAAGTCAAGTCTTTTATTTCGTATGAAGGCCTTCGGCCCATATATAAATAATTATTACAATGTTGAATATAACATAGGTACACTATAAGCACGTTTAATCTAATATAAGGGGGGTGATGAAATACAAATATATTATCCATTAACCAGCCGCTGTCTTAGCTAAATAAATATTTACAAAGATTATTTAATAATTCATTTGATGTAGAAGATAACAATTGATGAAATCTACAGAGAGACGCATAGTCGTTGTACATTTCTTGGATTATTATAACATTCACATATAAATATGAAATGAAATTCATCTCCTATTCCTTTATTACATATGGGGCAAATATGTTGATTAAAATCAACTCCTCACCACCGTCCCTCATTAACCTTTAATTTCATAATTCCGGCTCTGATTTCAATACTGATCACTGTCGTTCGTGCGCAAACAGCCGGAATACACGACCACACGAAGATAACCTGGAGTTGGACAATTCATACATTACATATATGTGTAGTAGACACGAACACGGATGTCCACAGATGCAGATTCAAAATGATATTAAAAGGGTATTTTTACCATCAGTAAAATGCCTAACCCATGCATTTGTCACATCACGTCTAGACTACTGCAACAGTCTACTCTACGGAATACAGCAGAAGTACATGGACAAGTTACAGCGTGTTCAAAACACAGCTGCCAGGCTCATAACACGCACACATATGTATGTGCACATAACACCAGTCCTGAAGGACTTACACTGGCTCCCTGTAAAAGACAAAGTTGTATTCAAACTTCTTGTGTTTGTTTACAAGTGCATTAATGGTCTTGCTCCATTCTATCTCCAGGGACTAGTCAACATTCACAAGCCTGGAAGGTCACTCAGATCAGCTAGTCAGCAAAGCTTAGATGTTCCATCTGTCCGAACCACAACATACGGGGACAGAACATTTAGCAGAGAGGGTGCTGTACTCTGGAATGGATTACCTGAAAATGTCAGAAAATCGGAAAATATCAAGTTTCCGATCTTGTCTCAAAACCATCCTCTTCAAACGAGCATTCGACTAAGCGCACATGAGCAGGACTCTGGATATGTAGCGCTATACAAATGTCTAATTTGAATTTGAATTTGACAAAACAATAAGGTCAGCCCAACGGACGTCAGCTATTTTAAAGTAATGGCTGGGGAACAACTGGCTCCAGTCAGTTTCCCACGTATCAGATTCATGTTTAGGTTATAAATAAGCAATAGTTGACACTACTGCGCTGCGTCGGGCTATAAATATTGAGTGTGTGGCGGGTGTTACCGGTAGGACGTACTTACATTTTTTCGATAACACCTGGTGTCCTCAATATTTTTTCAGTGATTCATTCATGAAAAAGGTTACTAATATTTTTAGTTTTCCTTATACATCAAAAGGAGGGAAGAGGAAAACTAAACATTATGAGTATTCCTTTGCACTGACATGTTATATTTAAGTGAAGGTTAAAGAGTCACGCTGTGACACCATGTAGTGTCTAGCCACATGTAACGTGCTGCTGTGCCTCCCGGTGTCCTGCAGGGACTCGCCCTAGACACCCCACTGGGAACTGAACACGTCCATTGCTAAGTACTTTTATGTCATTGTGGGTAAGCTATCTTAACTACTCCCATTGCGCAATGCTAATTGCGATTACATGCTCACCTGAAAACCCGCACACATTGGTTGATGTTCAAAACTTTATATCTACATACAACATCTCAAACTTACAGTCATGTACACACCAAGAAGATGATTCCTATCTCAGGCGACTCATCTCATGACTGCTTCAGTTAGATTGCACACAATGTAAAGGGCTCGTTAGCTATATATCTAAAGGTTGCTTCTCCTTACCTAAAGTGTTAACACTGGGCTATAGCACTTGAATGAGTTTGGTTTTACGCCGCTTTTACCAACATTCCAGCAACATCACAGCGGGTAACACTAGAAATGGGCTTCACACATTGTACTCATGTGGGGAATCGAACCCGGGTCTTCGGCGTGACGACCGAACGATTTAACCACTAGGCTATCCCAACGCCCATATAGCACTTGAACATGCTGTACGTGTTTACATGAATTCATTAAATGTTTATAGATACATACATTACATGTGTTTATATGCTACAAACAAAACGTATGGGAACATCCTAAAATTTGCTAGTCATATATACGTGGTGAGGTCATTTATACTCTAAGGTACATGCAACGTTGTGTGTGCTTAATGGGCACTTTAAACGACATGTTAGAACATGCAGTGAAGCAACTGATTCAATATTCGTTGAGTTTGAGTGAAATGAAACATTGTCCAAAGCATCGAAAAACAAGGGTGCTGAAACACACCAGCCCCATGTTTGATTCAAACGCCCAAAACACAACAGCCTACAGTCCGTTTGAGAGAAAAAGATACCGATGAATTGCAATCTAACACAAAAAACAAATAGACATAAAAGAATCAAACCAAAGTGGACTGCAATAAAAACAACAGACGAACTCATTGGCATAATTTTTGTCTCAAAAATAAAAAAGTTGTTTAAGAAACTGTCACCAGTTATTTGTGCGTTTTCCAAGTTTGTTACAAGGGCGCAGTGGCAACTAAAGGAACAGCGCGAAAAGCGAGATGCACGTTCATTAGTAACGTCAGAGACATGTGATTACTGCTGGTTGACAAAGTGAGAAAAAATGAAAGTCTATAATTTACAAAGTCTATGATTTTTTCAAGGATGAAAATGACAGGGGGTGACCCAAGTATGCAATGACTAAGTACATACAACGCACTGTCTGTGCAGCTGGGGTACATCTAAGGGCCCCAGCGATAACATTATATCAAAATATATCCTGGT